TATTATTTAAAAGAGACAAAAATAAATAAACAAAAGATGGCAAGACAGTGCAAGAAAGCCCTAGTTCCAAAACAAGGGGCACTTGAGGTAAAGACCACAGTCAAACACTCCTAAAAGCCAAAAAAGAAAAAAATCTGGGTCAGCAAAACTATTAGGCTCTTTTTGTTTCAGGAAGAAGTTCCAGGAAAAGAAAATGCCCAGTCATTTACATTAATTTTCTCTTGGTTTTGCTCATCTCAGTTAATTTCAGTTTTTCAAGCAAATCAAATATAGACACAAATCCTATGTATTACAGCAGCAAAGACGAAAGTAAAGCAGCAACACAGAGAGATCAACAAACCATTTCCAGAACCCTCATTGCAAACTTGTACTTATCAGTATAGAAAAGATCAGCTTCTCTTTTTTTTTTTTAATGAACTGAATTGTATCATTAGCATACTAGAACAAATATAAATCCTTTGCAAAACTCCTCTTTCCTGGGTTCTGATTTGGTTGGACAGGATTTTAATGTACATTTTAGTCCATGAAACATTTTGTAATTCTTTTATTTCCTGTATAAATATTTTCTACACATACATGTATGCATAAATACAGATACATGTATGTATATCTAGAAATATACATAAATATAAAAATATAAGAACATATTTACATGAATATATACATCCATATATACATATGATAATTTATTTGTATATTAATATAATATGTCTTCATATGTGTGCATGTACAAACAGAAAAGAAAGTGTGAGTATATATGCATATAATATTAAGTAAAAATTAAAAAAAAAAACAAATTTCTACGAGATAAACAGAACTTTTTATTATCAACAACCATACATGCATTTACTCTTTTTCATCATTTTCATTTAAAGAAATGAAAGCAAAATAGTTCATGTATGCATGCATATAACTATATGTAGAAAAAAAAAATCCCCGAAAAAAGAAATATACGCACAAAATACACACACATGTTTATATTCTTCACTACGACAAATTTTTTAATTTACAACAGAGAAGCCTGCAAAGAAGGCCCAGAAGAGAATCAGTGCAACGACAAAGTAGTAATACTGCAGAACAAAGTTCAGCAAAAACATAAATACAAATAGGAAAAAGAAATTCCGAAGCTGAATCTACTTTCAAATTCAGAACATCATATCAGAAATTCACAATTTACGATATCATACTCAAAATTTTCCTTGACACCTACATATCCAGAAGAAGGAACTAACAAAGAGAAATACCATAACGAGAATAAGAATCATGAACGCTACTAATATCTAATCATCGCTGGCAGTAATACTACTAATATCTAATCATCACTGCCAGTGAACTAAATGCAAAGAAGTAGAGCAATAAAAGGCAAAAGAACATACCCGAGCTCTTCTTCCTTTTAAGTGAAGCACGATCGGCAAAATAAAAATTGCGGACGACAGGGAGGAGCGCAGCGACAGGTGCGAATGTAGTGATCGCGCAAGAAGTGCGAAGCGCCGTGACCGTGCGTGTGAGACGGTATGCGGTCGAACTGATGAGTGAAGTTAGTGAGAAGCTGGCAAGTAGAGGTGTGGGGGAGAGGAAGGAGAAGAGGTGACGGTTGGTCGGCGGTGGCTCTGACTGACGAGTCTGAGAGAGGGAGAAAATGAAGACAATGGGATTTGGGGGGTAAATTCCGGAAAATGCGAAAAGATTAATTACCAAATTTATAGTTTATAAAAATTCTGGGCTTTTCTCTAATAATGAAAACTTGGGCCGTCCCCGGCCCAAATTTAATCAAATGTTAAAATAATATTATTTAAATAATTAAAATAATTAATTTATTTATTTTTATATAATTTTTATTTATTATATAAAATATTATATTTTTATATTTAAAAATAATTTTTTAAAATATTTTTACAACTACAATATTTGCTTTCATCCGTATTGAAGAACTCCCTTTCTGTCTTCTTCCCATAGGAACCTTCTCCAAACTACTCTCGCTACAGGCCAATCCCACAACAACGTTGATTCCTCCAACCAGATGACTTTTACCCATTATATAATAATCAATAATATAATAAAATAATAACGATAACGATAATATGATGATAATAATAATAATAATAATAGATACATGATCTCAACAAGTTTTGTTTTTTTATAATGTGCGTGTATATATATATATATATATCTTCCTTCACTGCTTCTCTCTGTTACAGAGTAATAATGGAGAAGTTAGAAATCAAGCACAGCCATGTAGAAGTAAGAGGACTCAAGCTTCATGTGGCTGAGACTGGAACTGGTAGGATTAGAAACACCATTTCTCTTCGGTCATTTTCTGAATCTTGTAATGAGGATTGGTTTTGTTTTTGTGTTGAGGATCAGGTCCTAAGGTGGTGATGTTCTTGCACGGATTCCCAGAAATCTGGTACTCATGGAGGCACCAGATGGTTGAAGTAGCTAACAATGGCTACCGAGCAATTGCTATCGATTTCCGGGGGTATGGACTCTCGGATCACCCTGCAGAGCCCGAGAAAGCAAACTTGGGTGACCTTGTCGACGATGTTGTTTCGCTTCTGGACTCCTTGAACATCAGCAAGGTAATCAACTCTCTCCTCTTAAAGTTATATAAGGTGAAGATGCAAAGGAATAACAAGAAACAAATATACAAGTAACCAATATTACACTCTGTAAGCAAGATTGAAATTAATGTTCTGCAACATATGCACAATCACAGTTGGTTGTCCAAGGGATAAAGGGTTCCATTCTTCTTACTAGTAGATCACGGGTCTGAACCCACATCCAGTAGTATTCCATTCTTCTTACTACTGCGGGAATGGCCTTCTACTTGCATTTTGATGGAATCATAGCGACAAACTTGCTCAAAATTACAGTAACTTACCAACTCTGGCTCACAAGAAATATTCCACAGCAAGTTCAAATCTCTGTAGTCACCCAAAGAGAGTTAATTGTGCTGGCCACCCTTCCTCTACCCTGTTTCTTCCATGGTCATTCTATGTTGTTTTACAGATCATCTAGACGCTTGTATGAGCAGCATGTAATAATAAAGTTCTTGACTGCCTACTGACATTTGTTCTCTTAAGGTCTAAAAGTTCCCAAGGTGTCTGAAGTCCCTGTTAAAACTCAGCTTATGGTTAGTCTTCCCTCTACTTGTTGACCTTTTCGTTTTGCCTATATCCTTTTTGTTGTTTTGGCATCCGAAACAAGTGTGCCTACCTACCATTTAATAATCTGGCATTCTACAATCACTGGATACCAAACAACCTCACCATTATACGGTCATCTCTTTGGCATTAAATAGAGAAACGAATATCTTACCCAAAGAAAGAGAGAAAAGAACAAGGAAAAAGAAGAAATAATCAGAAGAACAAACAAAATATAGCAAAAAGATACCAACAATTACAATTATTTTGTATGCCATAAGAGACCAAAGGATTATACAAGTCATGTGGGAACATTCTCCTGTTCTCCCTTCAGCGTTCGTTGAAAGATTATTTCCAAGATCAGACTTAGTTTACTAGGATCCACCATCTCATGAACACGTATATTCAAATCATGCATCTTAAAATATTTTGTGTAACATATCAAAAGTTGAATTTTTGAACATATACCATACCAGGTATTTGTTGTCGGAAAGGATTTTGGAGCTGTACCAACGTTCTTGTTGGCAGTTATTCACCCTGAAAGAGTTGCAGGTATGGTAACTCTAGGCATTCCTTTCCTGCTACCAGGTCCTTCAGCTATCCAAACTGATCTCCTACCCAGAGGCTTCTACATAATGAGGTGGAAGGTAAGGAAAAATTCTTTCCTTCATCATCTTTGTCAATGTTGATTTGAAGCTGCATGAGAAATTGAAGCATTTCGGATGGGAATTTCAGGAACCTGGGAGGGCTGAAGCAGATTTTGGCCGCTTTGATGTTAAGACAGTGATAAGAAAAATCTACATTCTGTTCTGTAGAAGTGAACTACAAGTAGCTGGTGATGATCAGGAGATATTGGACTTGGTTGACCCATCTACACCATTACCACCATGGTTATCCGAGGAAGATTTAAATGTCTATGCTAGCCTATATGAGAAATCTGGTTTCAGAACTGCATTGCAGGTTCCTTACAGGTAACCAGAAAGCTTCCCTAAACTATGCACATAATTTCTCACAGCATATGAAGGTATTTCTATCTTCTAAGTCATTGAAATCGACAAACAAGTTGATCTATGATGCAGGACATTCGAGATAGATTATGGTTTAACTGATCCAAAAATCACAGCTCCATCTTTACTGATCATGGGTGAAAAGGACTATTTCATGAAATTCCCAGGTATGGAGGACTACATGAGAACTGGGTTTGTTAAGCAGTTTGTTCCCAATCTAGACATCACCTTCATGCCAGAAGGAAATCATTTTGTTCAAGAACAACTTCCAGAGCAGGTTAATCAGCTCCTCATTACTTTCCTCAACAAACATGAAGTTTGATGAGGTTGCTCTAAGAGAATAAGGATATTTGGATAGCTAAGCTATAAGCAGCAGAATAAATTGTTGTAAGGCTGATACTTACAGCAGATATTGGCGAAGCGAGTGTATGAATCACTCTGATTTCAATGAAATTGATCAAGAAACCTTCATTTGTTTTCCTTTCCCTTTCCTTTCATTTTGTTATCTTTACAAGTTTCTATTCAAACAGTGCTAATTTTCTATTTCTCTTAGTATTAGATACATATCATATCCTTCTAGACTACGAGCACCCGAAGTTCATATATGAGCAGTAAGGTCTGTCACATCAAAGGATAATGAGGTGAGACCCTAAAAAAAAGTTGAGCAACCATTTTTATGAGACTGGAGTAGAGGATTGGCGTAGCATCTAAGCAATCAATTAAAAGTTTAAATGGAAATCGGACAGAAGTTTAATGAATCTCTAGAGATCAAGAAGATGTCAAAAAAACATAAGGTACAATTACAACATAATTACTTTTCACACAGAGAAGAAAAATCCTATTGATTATTTTCACATACACGTATACAAGTGAATTACAGTAGGCAATATGACTTCCAAACATGCATACTCCAAAGCATCAGAGCTCATATGCTGGGAACCGAGCTTCAGAAGGTTCGATCATGTCCAAGAAAAGATATGCCAAACCTCCCATCCCTTCAAAAAGAGAATAAGGGCGATCACCTCCATGCATCTCTCCCTTCGATATAAGCTTATGAGCTTGATCAAGTAGAAAGCAAGCAAATGCCTTCGCCCTGTATAAATACTCCGTGTTGTCTGTTAATCTGTAGAGTGTGAGAAACACATATGTGTTTCCACTAATACCATGGCAAATTCCAACCCTCTTGAGCAAACCACGGTTCCACACCACCTCTGCTGATTCCGTTACTGCTTCAAGAAATTCCTTATCTCCAAAAACCTAAATATAGACATATTCCACATAAATGTTTTAGCAATGCTGTTATAAGTAGAAGCCATCAGAACCAAATAGCATATCCGTTATTTTTTTCCCCTTTTCTCCCCCTATTCTGCTATCTTCTATAGAATGTTCTTTGTGACCATACAGATGTCTATAAGCAATCTTGAAAAAAAGTTAATATGCATTTAACTCCAGGAAAATGTTATTCATGAATGAAACAAGCTATTAGAATACTCCTACGAAAAGAAAGAGGATCATTAGGAATATATATTTAGTATATACATATGTGCATTATACAATACATACATATCTAAGAAAACTGCTACCATTATTTTCCTAGACATTCTTGATAATGTGACAGAGAGAACATTGTCTAAATCACACCTCATACAAAATGCACAATATTTACTTCACATAATGCTATATTTCACTTGATAATTGACAACCACAAACAATTTACTTTAGGCACCTTGATAAAAAGAATATAAAACACATTGCTGCCAATTTAAAGGGAAAAAAATTGTTACATGCCAAGTACACAAGAGGATTCCATTTGATAACAAGAAAACTTTACCTTAGCTGCCTTGGCAAGTGTAAGCACAATCCCAGGAGCTCCATGACACCAATGAACAAGAGCATCCCTTTTTCTATCTTCTTCACTAACGGGATAGTTCCCGCCTGGAAACCGGTTCTTGATCATGTACTTAAGGGTGCCTTTAACATCCTGAGCCTCATCAGGCTTTAGGTCCATGTCCATCAAAACATGCATAATACCTGCCAAGCCATGGGCAGCACCCAAATACTTCTCTCCATACCATTCAAACATAAGTGGGCATTTGCCTTTCTTCCCCAATGCCCTTCCATTGCTAATAATATCATCAACAACTTGCCGCTGCACAAATTTTTCCTAAGTATAAGTTCCAACCCAATTATCAAAAGATAAGGACTACCATCTCGAGAGACTTACAGTGGTTGTAGAAGGAATAGTCCCTTCCCCAATGTGTTTGTTCAAGAACAAGCAAGCCCATAAAAATCCAGCTCTTCCATATAATAATTCATCAGGTAGACCCCTAGACAGCTTAATCTGTCCCAACTCATGAAATTGGTAAATCAGCCAGACAACAAACAACACCACAAAATATTATTACCTATCATTCTCATCCTTCACAGACCCAAAAGATATATATATAATAAATAGAAAAACATAACCTTTTTGAATTGGGTCAAGTAATAGTCAAGCAACTGTTGATCTCCAGCATGCTTTGCCACTACAGCTCCAAGAGCACAAACGCCCGCCCGACCACATAGAAAAGTTACATCCCTATTTTCCATACAGAACCCATGACATATACTGTTTCCATCAAGGCTTCATAACTATCATGAAGCATAATAAAAACCTAATAGAAGTTACATAGAATACCGAGAAGGGAGAGACGCAGAATCACAAGCCTTGACGATCTCCAAGCAAAGAGATAGATCATTCTCATTTTTAGTAACACGATAAGCTTTGAAAAGCAAGAAACTTATACCAAGTGTGCCAGCATAAAGAGTGAAGTCTTCCACTTGCTGCCCCGTTAAGCCCCATATCTCCATGACTATCTGTCAGGAAAAAACACATACATCTGGTAGACACTTCAAAAGGCAAAAGAGACGAAAAAAATCGAAGGAAGAAGAGAGTGTACTGTTTCTTTAAGGTCTAAAGCGGTGCGTTTAAGGAGTTGAGAGAGGGAAGGGTAGGGCATGGAAAGAAGATTCATGAGGGAATCTTCTTCTCCCGTGGTTACTCTTGCGGTTGATGTCTCTGCTATGTAGTCCGGCATTACGTTAGGGATGAACCGGTCCCCCATTTCTCCTTTACCTTCTCCGTAAATTAACACAGCTTCTTTGGGTAGAGACAGAAAGAGGGAGAGAGTTCTATCTATCTATGAGAATTGAGGAAAAATGGCGGAATGGGTTGACTTCAGCTGGAAGAGATGCTCAGTTAGTTGCAGAGCTGTCATGGAAACAGCAGGAGCTCCCTCCACGTACAACGCATTTCGCCTACACGTGGCACATTCTGAGAAACAAAAAATACGACGCAGTTTTATGTAAAATCATGGTTTTAAAAAACGAGAAAAATAAAAAATGCGGTGAGCGTGGATCGAACATGCGACCTTCAGATCTTCAGTCTGACGCTCTCCCAACTGAGCTATCCCCGCTACTTGAAATTTTATCTCCAGTTAGTAATTCTTAACACATTCGATAACATGATAAAAAGACATTTCTACCCTCCAACTAACAAATTTCCTTCTTCCCTGTGTCTGATCCGAACTCAACGATATTTGTTAGAGAAAACAACTCAAAGCCATCCTCAGCTAACGTTACAGAGAGAGAGAGAGAGAGAGCTGCTCAACAATGGCGCCATTCGACGATGGAGAGGACCCGACGCAAGTCGAGACACAGGTCCAGTTTCCGTCACCCATAGATCAACCTTTCGACGATGATGGTTACATGGGATTGGGCTATGACGACTTCTCCTCCTCCGGCGACCAACCGGCTCATCATCCTCCTCCGCCTGTTGCTCATGTCACCACTGATGATCTCCCCCTAGACCCCATCTCGGGTGACCCGGCTGTATACGGTGTTACTAGCCCCGATGTCTATGGTTTCGGGATTCCCGCCTCGAACATCCCCGATGACTACGCGTCGCCTTTCGAAATGTCCGTTACCGATGCCAATGGCGACGGCCAGGCGCACGATAGCGACGCTACTGATGGCATTTTCACCTCTGACGGACCTCTTCTCCCTGATCCCTCCCAGATGCAGGAGGAAGGATTCGCGCGTCGCGAGTGGCGCCGGTTAGTTTCCTTCTGTTCTTCAAATGAACGATGTGGATTCTACAGTTTGCTAAATATGCATATATACACACATACACAGACTATATAATTCTTAATTTTCCAATGGTTGATCTATTGATTTATGAACCGATTTATGATTCGATTTATATTACCTTTTTTTATCAATAATCCGCCATTGTTGACTTCACCACGATGCCTTCATTTCAACTAATCAACATTCTATATCTTGTTTCTGCCTGTTAAGATAAGAAATCAAATGCATCAGACATTTGAAAATTAGCAAAAGTATCAGCAGGAATCTGGGCCTAATAATATGTGTGTGTATATATATATATGTATGTATGTATATGACTAATGCTCTGGTTTGTTTAGCATGGCAATTAGAGTCGCAATAATTGTCCTCCAGTTAATTTTCTTTCCTACAGAACTCTGTGATGCTGAAGAACCGAAAAATTGAACTTGATTTAGACAGCTTTGTTCATGCTATCTAATCTGCTAAAAGAATGGAAATCAGCCAATTAGATTAGTATGAATATGGGCATCATCCATATATGTAATACATCTGATGCACACATTCATCTAATTATCATTCCTACTTCCCGATCTGGTGAGATGACATGGTGAATTGGTCATTATTGATTATATGGTACCATTGATTTTCTAATTAAGAGGCTAAAACTTGATAGTTTAGGCCATACTTGAAACAAATCTAAAATTTTTAACTCATAGGATTCTGTATGTAAACTGAATAATAATCCCAATCTACAATTTCGATATAATTTGAAATGTATTGTTTTAATGCACAAGGTTTTTGTAAAAATAGACATGAACCTACCAGCCTGGCTGGATGGTAATGGTCCACACTTCCACCTCTCTTTCTTTAAGAATGTGGTTTGAGTCTTGAGTTGTATGTCCCATATATTTCCTTAGAAGATTCTAGTATTATAATTTTGCAGGTGTCACATGATTAATTAAATGTATAAATTTCCATTCTGACAAAATGTCTGAACTTATAAATGCATTTCACAATATGTTTGAATTTTTTTACCAAATATGACTTTTAAATAAGAATACATAAACTTTATTTATAGAAAATTTCGGTCAAACTTGAACTTTGTCTTTTCAAATTCACTTAGAACTGTCTAAGAAGCAATTTTTTGTCATTTTGTAAGTGATTTACATCCCCCTTATGATGAATGTAAGTATGAATTTCTAAAGTTGGAAACATAACCTTAGTGAATATCATATTGCACTTCTGTTTCTAGTGTTGGCTGGCATATAAGTGAAAAAGAATACCCATATAGCTGAACAAAGAAAATAGCTAGATATATATCCCACTGTTGATCTTGGTTTTGGTTGGCACTAAAAGTATATAGTCTAAAACCCATCGGCTATCAATTTGTGCAGTCAAAATGCCCTCTACCTTGAAGAAAAGGAGAATAGAGAGAAGGAGATGCGTAACCAGATTATTGATGAAGCTGAGGAGTATAAAAGAGCTTTCTACGTGAAAAGGAATCTCAACATTGAATCTAACAAGGCTAACAACAGAGAAAGAGAGAAGGTATAAATGTTCTGGACATCTTTTTCCTTTTTTCTTGCTCTTGATGCAGCTGCATTTCTGCTAATAAACCAGTTTGAGTTCCATTCAGCTGTACTTGGCTAACCGGGAGAAGTTCCACAAAGAAGCTGACCAACATTACTGGAAAGCAATTGCAGAGTTCATTCCTTATGAGGTCCCTAACATTGAGAAAAAGAGAGGCAAAAGGGATCCTGACAAGAAGCCTTCGGTTATTGTAATTCAGGGTCCAAAGCCTGGGAAACCTACTGACCTATCCAGGATGAGGCAAATTTTCACAAGCCTGAAGCATAAACCTCCTCCCCATATGATGCCTCCCCCTCCTACACCTGCAAAGATGGAAAGATGCCAAAGATTCGAAGGATGCCAAGAACGAGAAAGATGATAAGAACAAGAAGGATATCAAAAATGAGAAAAGTTCAACACCAAATGGGGCTGTAGATCAACCTGCTGAACCTGCTGAAGTTAAGCCTGCTGCACCACTTGCTGAAGATGCATCTGCTAATGATGCTACTCCTGATCAATTAAAACCACAGATTCCTGCTTCCGCTACTGCTGAGAAAGATGTGGCTGAAGGAGATAAGATTGCAGAAGAAGGGGAGAAAGCCGCTGAATCTGCGCCTGCAGCCCCTGCTGAGTAATGATGATTTCTCATATTTTCCCTATTGATTTCTTTTGTTTATTTTGATATTCTCTGTTTAATCATGATCCACGGAGAATAAAAACGGCTACCTGTAGATTATTTAGTCTGCAGAATGGCTGTAAACAAAATGCCTTCTCAACTTGCTCTAGGATTTTCTAGGAAATTAGGCAGTATATTATGAAGCTCCCTTGTTGCTTCCACATATTCCTTTATTCATTATCTAGGTATTCGGCACTTGATTAAATTTCGTTTGTAAATTTGACCTGAAGAAAAGAAATTCACGATGAATGTAGATCGAACTTGCAACCTTTAAATTTCCAGTTTAATGATTTCCCAACTTGGTTATCTCATATTAGCACTTTTGTTGTTGAAACTATGAAGTCTGAGATTTTATGTCATGATCTTGATCTTCCATTCTTGCTTCTGCAAAAGCTTGAATTGCTGGATTTCCCTTCTGTTTCTTTTCAAATTAAAGAAAGCAGATGGAGATGGAGATTACTTTGTTTCCTAAATCAGTCTTTTTGTAATTTTCTGCAATTATAATAAATTAAAATGTCTACATATATATATATTTATGTATATACATACCAAAATGAATAACTTGTTGTATGACCTGTAAATTGTAGAATTTATGTGTGGGTCTATGTATATACACATATAGTGCAGTGGGGACATACAAAACAGAGGACTGTGATTTATATCCTATAATATATACATATATATATATATATATATCTCACTCTCAAACAAGTGGGTCTTTCACATGGCAAGAAGCCAAAAACTATCACGAGCCAAATAATACTTTTCTTTTTCTTCTGAAATATTTATTTACTTTTAGCATGTGGAATATTAGGTGATATATATATATATATATATATATGATAGAGAATATGATGAGATATTTTTATTTTTATTTTGTGAAAATTAATATTATGAAATGGGTAATGTCAATAATGATTTAATATCTCAATATATATATTTTTTTATAAAATATTATAAATTTAAATTAAATTATATATTTTCATAAAAATACTATATACAAATAATATAATCTTTATTGAAAGAGTCTGTTACATAAAATGGTATAAATGGATTAAACCACACAGCCAATACATTTTACGCTCTCTCTCCCTTTGGAGAGGGCTACAGCAGCCAGCCCTCGAGGGGCACTTGCTTACACACATTACAGAAAACACAAACTATATAAGAAAGAAAGTACCCTTGGATGCTAATTTTCAATCCAACGGCTACTAATTTTCTCTAAGAAAAATTAGATTCAAGAAGAAACCCACCAAAGAGATAACGGCTAGTTTTGTATGTGACATAATATATTATAATATATATATATATATATATATAGTGTGTGTGTGTGTGTGGAGTAGTGAGGTTAATAGTGGAAGAAATTAAGGCGAGAGGGGTAAGTAGCTTTTGGAGACCAATTTCTTGGGATAACATCCCTTGCAGAGAGTGTTTCTCCTGTGGATAGTGTTGTTAGCTTCACAGAGAATGGCCCCCTTAAAGGTCCCCTAATTATGCACCAGTTTGCTCCCCATAGATGCTTCATCTCTAACCACTCACTTGACCCTGCCTGCCAATACCCAGCAGTAAAAAAACCCATATTAAAAATCACAAAACTACTCTACCAAATCAAATTATAAGTCACTTTCAATACAATAACCCAGAACTAGTCATGGGTAAAAAAAAAAAATGAATGATTGGTACTTCTAAAAAGTTACGATTTTAAATCGACGCGTGCGTTTTCTTATTATAAAGTTGTGTGGTAATTAGTATCCAACGTACGTACCAACTAATTTATAAAATGTACAATCAATGTCTATGTGTTAACTAACAAAACGTTTAGAACTATATCGGTGAAAGTCTTTTAATTAAATGATCTGTATAATGATTAATGTATATGTGTAACGTAATTAACGAAATATATAAATTTTTTTGTACCAATCAAATGTACATGTATAACAAAGGAAGAAAGTAAATAAGAGACATAATCTTTTGAAATTAAAAACACATAATGATCTAAAAAGTAGTTCTATTTCTAGGTTTGTGATGTTCTCTTCCAACTGTTCAATTTGCTTTTTTAGTCAAAAGAAGAAAATGTACATGAAGAAAAAAGAAAGAAAGAAAGAAAGAAAGAGAAAAGCAAGGTATTAAAAGAGGGAAAAAGAGGAAGTGGGGACATGGGTATTTTAGAGTATCTTAGAGGAGAGTGGAAACATGTGGGATCTGCATTAACCAGATTGGTGGTGGGTCAAAAAATGAATTTGATTTGTAACTTGAGATACACCAAAACTATATATATATATATATATATATTATATAAGTTGGGGCAGACCAATGAAGGAGACTTTTGCAAGAGTGGCCCCCTCCTCTCTCACATGCAATGAAGAAAGAAGATGGTTGAATATAAAGGAGGGGAGAGTAAAAGAGCAGGCAGAAAAGTGCTTTTAAACACAGAACACATTGGCACCATTAATAAGCCTTACATAATCATGATATATATATATATATATTTAACCTCAAGAAGGAAAAAAAACTGAAATGGGTTTGTCCGTATGAGGTGTTCCCAATAGTTTGAATTCCATAATTTCTAATTATACCATGAAAAGCTGCTTGTATGGTAAAAAAAAATTAGTAAGTACTTTTCAGGGAATGGGTGCTTCTTTGATTATTAATCTCTGTTTCTTAAGCAAGCACTGTTTGAGCATCACTTTTCATGTAAAAAGTTGAGAAAAAGCAAGCAGCTTTTTTTCAACTAACATGATGCATCTCATCAATGAGAATGCATGAACAAATAATATTCTTACACACCCAACACAGAATAAAGATTTTATAAAACTTCCAAACCATATTCTTCTCTCCTCTATATGTATATATATATATATATATATATACATATATATATAATACTGTATAAAGTAAAAGTTCTAATGTAAAGAGTTCAATCTTCTCTTACTTTAACTTTGATTTGGTTATCAAAGTTTGAGAAAAGAAGTTAACTATTAACAAAAGGGTTCTTCATCAACTAGCTATAGGTGTCTTTTAAAAGTTCATGGTTTCATTATATTATTGGAATAAAATATTATCATTTAAGTTATATTATATTTCTATCGGTGTGATCAACTTAAAGATTATATCTATTTTAATATGATGATTGATATATATGTATTTTTTTTGAAAAAAAATAATTTAATTTACTAGAATTAAATTGTAAATTTTTATGTATTTTGTAATAAAAAATTGTATTATAATTAATGTGCATGCAAAATATATATTTCTATATATATATATTTTTTTTTAAAATAAGGAAGTAAAGCTTAAAAAGGTTGATAAATATGGAATATATATATGTATAGAGAGAGAGAGAGAGAGAGAGAGAGAGAGAGAGTTTAGAAAGAGAAAAAATACTTACTTCCCTTATATGCATTGACCCAACATCCCCATCTCCATCTTCAAATTCCACGAGAATTGAAAGCCAGTAATCTGTGGAACCTTCGTTTACATGGAATGCAATATTCCTCCCTGGATACTTACATGGCGTCCTATAGATATACAATTTCGATTCATATCAGTCAACGGTCAACCCATATAATTACCAAAACCAACAAAATTTAACATGGGTAATAATTTAAATATCCTAAAAATGTCATTAAAATTAATATATATATATATATATATTATTTAATTATTTAAATTATAAAAAGAAATTGAAGAGAAAAGAAAAAAAAGAAGAAAAGCAGAGTAGTAGACAGAGCATTACCGTCTATAAACGACAGGGATCTCGCCTCGGTTTCGGAGCTGACCACCTTCGCCGGTGATCGCCAACCGACCGAAAGCTGCGCCGCTCAGGTCGAAATGAGACCGGCCATTAGCGCAGTATCCACCAGGACACTCGTCCGTCACAATGATCGTCACCGCCCTCCTCGAGCAAATACTCCTATCATTACAACGAACCTTGTAGCACGCTCCACACCCTTCTCCGTCCTTGAACAGCACCGGACTCACCGCTCCTACTCGAGCTCTCATCGGCCGAACATCCACCATCGATCCGTACCCGCACGCACCCCCTGCTCACCGCCAGAGTCAATTACTCAGTACTGAGTTGACTCAGCAAAACTCTGTACTATTTCACTCGCAACTCACTCAAGCACCATAAACATGAAATGAGCTGCGGGAGTTAATTAACTTACCGTCACTGCCGTCACCTTCGGGACTACCGTACCAGGTAGCGGTGGCGGGGAGCCAATGTAGGTCCAAATGACGTGCCACCTCCGCCGACATCACCGCCGCAGTCACGAACTCCAACAAAACCATCACCCACAACCCGAATGCCAGACCCGACCCGCCACGACGCTGCATTGTAGCCGTGAAAATGACACGTGTCAGAATCAGAAGAGAAGAAAAATTTTGCCGACACTTTTGTTATAGAGTTATAAAGTCTGTTGCGGGTGGTCAGGTGTATATATAGGCGGAACAGGGGGGGGAAGTGATTTTTCTTTAGTGTATTTTTTGTGGATCGACTATTTTATCCTTGTCCTTTGGGTTTATTTACGGAATTGCCACTCAGGAAGTGTTCAGCAGTGGGACCCACCGACAGTTAAGGCGTTAAATCCGCATGGCCGTGCGTGTCAGGCGGCTGAGGGTATTTTCGTCATTTTCTATTTGACCGTTATTTGTTTCGTTTGTTTGTTTGTGAAGGTTGCATGTGATGGCGCGCGTGGGCGAGGGGAAGAGAAATAAAGTAAAAAAGAGACGTTGCGCACTTGATGGGAATGAGTGAAACGGTGACGTATTAACGAAATTAAGAGTGGAAAAGTTGGTTATAAATGCACCAAGAGAAAAGGTCAGTTGTAAATATCTGGAATTTAAAAAGAATATATTAATGTTATAAGTATTTTAATTATTATTATTATTTTATAATTAAAAAATTAAATCAGATTTTTAATATATTATAATTCTTATAATTAAAAAATTTTAATTGTTACAAAAAAATTTTTATTATTTAAAATTATAACATATGCTCAAACTTACACCAATTTAATTATTTTACCCTACCAATATGCAATAATTTGATTATTAATTATTAATGTTAATTTTTGACACCAAATTTGTCATTATATTAATAATTATAGTAAAAATAATAATGAAATAAAGTCAATTAATAACTCCTAAGGAAGCCAAATATTATAAAATAAGATATTTTATGTTATTGGTGCATTGAAGTCTATGTACAAATTAAAAAATATATATATATTGAAAATATTATTAAAAAAATAAGTACACATAATTAACCCATTAATTATATTAAAAATATCTTATTTGTGTAATTAAATTAATTAATCTTATTAAATGGCTAATTGGACCTTGAAATTTGAAGAAATATTGTTGACTCCATGGTGGTGATTTCTTGGTCATGTCCAAATGTGAAAGTGTTGGTCTGATTTTGTTGACATTTTTTGTCAGATTTATTGAGATTAGAGAAATAAATAACCTTCATCAATTGGTCAATTTTTTTTTTTAAAAAAGAAATTTATTATTTTGCACTATTTATATCTAACATTGTCATAAAATCGGTTTTTAATTGACTAGTTTAAGGTAATATAAATATAATATATAATAAAAAAAATTTATATATATATTTTTTAAATGTACTAAATTATTTTGAACGAATATATTTATAAGATCATTTGATAAAAAAAAATTAATTTTAATTTACAAAACCATCTATTATTTTGAACATGCCATCAAGACGGCAAACATGACAATATTAGCTTGGTCTATTATGTGGACCAATTTGAGCTAACTAGAATTAGATTATGAAACTTATTTTGTACGTACTTAACTTAAATTTCGGCAAACTTATTATTAAATACGATTAATTTGTATTATAATATTTTATATGACTATTATTAAAATAGTAGCCGAATTTAAGGTACTTACTTTTTGACATGAGCTGTTTGTCCGATGTTGCGAGTTGTTTCCAAGTTGGCTTGTTTGAACGCGATCATTTGAATTGGTAGTAGTTTTTCTTAATCTTTTATACTGGTTGTGAGTCATCGTGAATATACACTTGTTATAAATTTCGTAATATTGAAGTTGAGGAATAGTTTCAATATACATGGATAATGGTGGTAACGATTCATACTTTTTTTCAAATTTTTTTATGAGTCGAAAGATTTTGTTAGAGTAAAAAATGTTGATGATTGACATAGTGGTAACAAAATCTGAATATCTTTGCATACCATGATGAAAATAGGGATCAAGTGAGAAATAAGGTTTTTATTGCATATGATGAAGAATTTAAAAGTTTTTTTAAAGTTATTTATATATTTATTTAGATAACACAAATTATTTAAAAGATAAAATTAAATATATTTTTAAACATTAAAAGATAAATATTAACTATTTTTACATAATGTGTTTGACTTTTGAATGGTTGTGCTTGAAATTTTGTCGAGTAAATGATGTTCTACTCTTCAAATGGGTTATCGTGGTTATCTTTGACAACAATAAAAATAAAAATAGCAAAAAAAAAATAAATAAAAATGATTAAAAAATAAAATATTCGATGAAATTTATAATGTATAATACATTTTACATAAAGTAATATACATTAAGTATAATTTTATAAAAGAACAAGACGAGATGTTAATTTCTCTTATCACTTAAAAAATATGAAGATTGAGATCGAAACATAATTCAAGTTGAGAATAATTTAACCATCACTGTCCTCTAAGTATATTATAGGCTGATGTAGCCGATTCATACTTTTTAATTCAACATAGTCTAACATCTTACAATGATCAAATTAAATTCTTCATCTTAATAAGTACGGTATTATATGACAATTAAAATTTTTAATTGAGATATACACAATGAATTTTTTTTTTTTAAAAAAAAAACTAACCTAATTTTTTAAATTTATCTAAAAAAAGTTGAGGAGAATTATTATTATTTTTGTTTAAATTAAGAAATATTCCATTTTCTTTTGAACTTAAAAGTATTATCAAGGACATAAAATTCAACATTTGATTTTTACCAAACTTATGGAATGCATAGCTTAGTTTTTGGTAACCATATATTTTAAAGAGGACACTAACAATGGAAAAAAATTTATTACCGACAGAATGGTAATTAAATTACTAAAATCTTTATATTCAATTTGAAAATCATAAATTTGAACTGTCTTTGAAGATGTAAAACTCGTTATTTTGTTGATATCTTATATGCTGGTTATAAACGATCTGTAATAATTGATTCAGTATGACTCAAAACTTAACTTATTAGTGTATTGATGAATTTGGAGTGATTAAATCAAGTTAAATATTAACGAATTTATTATATTTATGGATAAAGAATATTTATCCATAAATATTCTTGTATGTAAGATAAAAGAGGTGCATGTGATTCTTCAGTTCTTTATATATATATATATATATATATATATATATATACTTGTTGAAGAGACAAAAACATGGAATATAAATTTCTACTCTAAGACAAAAAGAAATTGTAGAAATGATATGTGGGAAGAGATGTGAAAACATAAAAGTAGTTGAGAAGAATGAGACGTAATGTCCTCAAATATTATTTGCCCTACTTTTTCTATATATATAAAAATATATATATATATATATACAAATATTTCAACTCTTTACACCTTTATCCATATATCATTAATTAATGACCACCAGCACCACACCAATCACTTCACTCTATACNNNNATACATGTACATATACATATACATATACATATACATATAATTTATTAGTATAAAAGCAATTTTAAGACTGGAAAAGTTAGAACTCAAAAAACTGAAGTAAATAGTCTTCTGAAGTGGAAATAAACCAAAGTTTATGTTGGAATGATGTAATTGGAAACCCTAAAAAACTTTTTTAAAAAATGTGGGTTAAATCAATACAATATACATATATTTATATATATATATATATATATATATATATATAATGTATGGACTGATTCAAATCAAATCTGAGTGATCCAGGATCCAACAATTCTGGAAGATATTGAACACAAGTTTCTTCAACAAAAATACAAAGAGGAAATCTCCACAAATTTCAAAGGAAGGATTTCATATAAAAATCTTACTTGTCTTCAAGCTTCCACTTTGCATGTGACTAACCACATGCATATATACATATACATATACATATACATATAAACTTGTTATTCAATAAAAATCACGTTCTTCATCATGGATTAATTAAACCCTAATCAAGATTTGTTTTCTCCAATTAGGGTGCATATATAAATATAATTACTCATGATATCCTAAGAATAGCTTATAAACATATTTTTTATATTTTTAAATTTAATTTGATCATTAATTTAATGTTATTTGCTCTTAGATGAAATAATATTGAAATATATATATATATATATCTATATTCACTCGCTGTTAAATTCCATTAATTGTACAGGACAAAGAATATCATGAGGCTCCAATAAAATTAT